CCCCCCTCCACCACCAAAAACTCCCACCTCAACAAGTAGCATAACATAAAAAGGAAGGACCTGGAGGAACAGCTCAGTATCAGGCTGCTCCTCGCCCTGATGAAGTGGACTGCAAGGCCCACGAAACGTTGGCACATCAAGAATGGACCAAAACATGGAGAAAATCCGCGAAGCACATATTAGTTGTATAAAAAGCACCCATGGAAGCATCAAGAAGATTACCAAAAATTATTGTTCTTAGTAAATGTTACATTATTAACTCTTTAATATATTTATATATTCAAAATGAAATTTTTCAACTTTTAAAAATTTTTTTTTAGGTTTATGTCGGTGTGTGAAAAATTTGCTTTGAATTCGATTCGTTTCTGAACGATTCGATTCAATTCGATCCGATGTAAAGATTTCGATTCGACTCGTTTTTGAACACACAGATTCAATTCGATTCAACTTTACAAAATGCTTGATTTGCACATGTCTATAACATACAATGCAAATTACAAGATTACAAAAAAAATTTTATAAGCGCAACTTAAACTAGAATATATTTTCTTACACAATAGATTTTAGCCCGATGAATTCAAATTTATAAGCCGTTTTGCTTCATAACGTCTAGTTTTTTTAGTTAATCGAAGAAAATGATGAAAAATCTGAAAAAATTAAAACATTGGAAGAAGAGTAAAATATGAAATTAAAATATGTAGCAGAACTGATTAAATATATTTTGGCAAATTTAACAAAGTGTAAGAAACAATAACTTTGCTTTACTAATGTTAGATATTATAGTCTACATACGTGTGTCCTGCGCTGAGTACGCCGCCCAAGCGCCACGCACGCCGCTCAAACGCCGCTACACTCGAGTAGGCTATAATATGTAATATTAGTAAAGCAAAATTGATGTTTCTTACACTTTGTTAAATTTACCAAAATATATTTAAATGTGTACTGCAACCGTATTTTATATTTACTTTTACTCTTTCTTCGTTATTTTCCTGGATTAATTAAAAAAAAAACTGGATGTGATGGAACAAAACGGCTTACAAATTCGAGTTCAAATCTATAAATATATTCGATCTAAAATCCATAAGAAACATCTATTCTGATTTGAGTTGTTCTTCAAAAATTTTGTTTTGTAGTCCTATGTTATTAATAATGGGAATGTTTTTATTACTCTTAGTTATACTGTCGAGGATTAAAAAATTAAATAAAATTTAATTCATACGGACAATCAGTTAAATATGGACGTATAGTCAGGATTGAACAAAATACATATATTTTGCTCAGTCTGGAATAGTAATAAAATATTTGCTACTTTTGCGTGTTTTAGATCTTATTATTTTTTGAAGAACTTACGATTTCCTTCAAATCATTAGCTGCCCACGCTGTAATATACATACGTTGTAAAGCAGCCATTATCATAGATAAGAATTGTGGTATCAAGATATGCGATTGTATCTAGTAAAATATTTTCAATCAAATTTAGAATTTTCATAATTTAAGTAATTAAATTTAAATACTTACGTATAACATAGGAAAACAGCCACTAATTACAGTGAATCCCATCGTGAGTGTTGTTTTAAAAAGTATATGTTGAATAGCATACTGCGTTTTTGATATAAACCTGCTCATATAAACAAATAATACAAATTAAGTCCGGGAAGATATCCAAAACAGTAATAACCTTCAAACCGTACATCTCCCTTAAGCATTCACTAATGGTACACAGATGCGAATTGGAATTTAACATTTTTAATTGCTTTCTTGAGGATTAAAACAGAAATTTTTTTTAAACCATTTCTTTTCTGAGATATAATTTTCTCACAAATCCAATGGTATCACTCAAATTTAATGAAAAAGTTATTTTGCAATGGAAAATTTGTTATAAATAAATTACGAATGTGAACTTTTAAAAATTGTCAGGCAAATGAGAGTAGTTCCGCAGTAATTATTGCGTATCCTTTTATAAGTCCGTGTATTTCCTAATTGCTTACATAAAATTTCGTCTCAGCTCAATTCGTGCCATTTTCAGCGATGTACAACCAATTATTATGTGTGACCTCTATTTCCATAGTTGAGTGCAACCGATGTAGTCTTAATTTACCATGTTTAAAATTGTTGAGTCTGAATACTATGAGTCTGAGTAGACTTTTAATTAATTTTTGTACGATCACATCCAATAGATGGAAATATATAACTCGATTCAACAACAAAATAATTTATAAAAGCCGTAAAATTAGTACTAGAATCATTTTTTACTTTCAACAACACTAATTATAGAATTACGGGACATCTATGGATTCTCCATTGTCGCCAATCATTGCAGAAATAATCATGCAGGATCTAAAAAACAAAGCGTTGGAAAGATTCGGAACTTACCTTTTTACATAAGATACATGAACGATATAAACCGCAGTACCCAAACATTTAATAAATGAATTTCTTAATACATTTTAATTCTATACACCCCAGAATACAATTCACGTTAGAAGTGGGCCAAAAAGAGCTAAATTTTTTAGACGTTACAATAATAAATAATAACGAAATTTTAGAGTTCAACATATATCACAAACCTACATTTTTGAGGAGGTACTTTAATTTCATATCTCTCCATCCAATATCTCAAAAAAGAGGGGTATTAGTGGGAGTTGACAGAGCATTTTTACTATCATACCCCAAATATCACAAAGAAAATTCGAATTTTATTATTAGAACATTTTTAGCTAATGACTATCCCATTAAATTTATATTTAATTAATTCAAAATCTAAAACATTAATAGAACAAAAAATCAAAAAACAATCAAACAATAAAACTAAAGAATCAGAAAAAGAAAAAAATACCATGATTTACAATACTATTTATACCAGGCATCTCGGACAAAATAAAAAACATCACAAAAGACTTAAACGTAAAATTATCATATTTCAGCATCAATAAATTTGATGGAATTATAAAAGCACAAAAGGATGTTATTCCAGTTGATTCTTAAAAAAATGTAGTGTATAAAATACTCTATATAAAGATTGCAATGCGTCATACGTAGGACAAATCGGTAGGCAATTAAAAACACGAATCGCAGAACACCGGAAAGACATAAATAAAACCAACGGTAAGCCAACGTCATAATAGAACACAGATTAGAATTAAATCAGGAATTTGACTGGGAGAACACTAAAATAATTGACAGCGAAAGACACTTAGGAAAGAGACTTATTTCTGAAATGTTAAATATTAGAATGCAAGAAAACAGTATAAACTTAAAATCGGAGAATTCCTGCACCATGCATAATACACGTAAGCATAATACAAAAAATTTGATCAGTATACTCCTCATAGTTATATAAAGGTCATAGTTATTTAAACGTTTTCAATATTAGAACATTATTGCGAATGTAATGTAAGCTTAACCAATGCAATGTAATGTAAGCTTTTACTTATAAAATGAAAACAGATTTTAATTGTAGCGTATGTAAGGTAACTTTTATTTGTATCATGAAAACAGTTTAATGTCAGCGGTGGGGGGGGGGGTCATATACTTACTGAATAACCAAGAAAATCATGAATACGTACATAGTTAGACGTGGGAATACAATGCTGCTAAACCATAGAGAAGAAAATTAAGACAATTTATTGTATACATTGATGTTTGCAACAGATGAGTCTATTAACGAAATTAGAATAGATAACAAAAATCACATTAAAAACCATATTACATAGGCTCAACAATCTTAAATCTGATAATTTAAGACTACACCGGTTGATTGCACATAACAATGAAAATAGAGATACACGAAACACATAATAATTGATTGTACATCGCTGAATATGGCACTGAATTGAGCTGAAACGTTCGAAATTTCATGTAAGCAATGTAAGGAAATACACGGATTTGCAAAAGGATTACGCAATAATTACTGCAGAACTACTCTCATTTGCTCGAATAATTTTCAAAATTTCACATTTTTAAAACTGAAAGTCAGAAGCACATCAATATTAAATAAATTACATTTTTGAAAAAGTCTTTTTATAAAGAAATTGCCATTTTTTTGTAATTTTATTAAAATGAAATGAAACTTACTGGATTTTTTAGTTAAAATAATGCACTTTAAGAAAAAATTATTGCTGTTGAAGAAATAAAAAACAAAATATTTTTTCACGTAAGCAGAATTTTTTAAAACGATGGAATGAGATTATGCATACAGAACATAATAGAACAGATATGTTCTATTTTTAGGTACAAATGTTTTATTTTTAAATGCTTTATGTTTACAACGTAAAAAGGAAAACATTACAATATATATATATATACATATATATATATATATCATTTAAATGTTAATCTATAAAACGCTCCCATTACACAATGTTGAACGATGATTATCGCACATTCTGCGCAAACAACACTTTATGCGGATACATACATCCAGTTGTGTCGGAATCGCAGAGATTGCATTTAGATCTCGTATTTTCTCTTATCACTGATGATACAGATTTGACCGGAATTTCACATAAAACTTTGCAAATTAATATTTTGATCGATGCGCGCAATTGTTCCATATGAGCAGTTGTTCATTGTTCCATATGACGACGCAAATGTGGTTCTATTAGATTGAAAGCTAAATAATCTAAAAATTTTGAGCATCTAAAAGTTTCGCATTATTACCTATCAAATTATATGAAGTATTAGCATTTATACCGGCTTGGTTGAGTATATTGAGTAAAAGAATCTTAGTGGCTATTTACGTGTGCGTCGTACAGTTGAAAAATATTGGCATTTTATCAAATTCGTCAATAGGACCTTTGTAGGTATTGTAAAACATAATAAAATCAGGTTTATTAGTTGTTACATTACACAGCAGATGTATATGATGTATAGATGACAATCTTATTTTGTTTCGGAACATATGAAATAAGCGTTAAATTTTTCATGAAAACAAATCGCAATGAACCTACTGCGCTTTTTGTTGTGAGTGTTAACGGAACGTGTTCGTCTTTTTGTTCTTACGTATGGTTCTGACAGCTTACAATTAGTATTTATTTTTCAATATTTCAAAAAGTGGAACCGACGTAAACCAATTATCTATAGTTCTCCAAGTATCAGAAATTGATACGTCATTTCAACTAATTTTTTTTTACAAAATATATTGGAACAGAATCATTTCGAGCTGGTTATTTTTTCTACATATAGAATCGCAGCGAGTATGTTTCCGCGTCATTGAGCATGAGAATTTTTACGTCGTACTTGTCCGGTTTATTTTTCATATATATTCTAAAAATGTATCTCCCGCGAAAAGAGACTAACTGCTCATCTATTGTGCAATTATTGGGGGGGCACGTAATTAGTAATACAATTTGGTAAAAAAAAATATCCCATATTTTCCTAACCGGTGTCAGTTTATCCTTTATACTGTGCTGCAACTCTAGTTTCTTTATTATCGAAGCGGATTATATGAGTTAAAAACTTAAATCTTTTTTCGAAAAATATTGCACGATAAATTCCACGAGACTTATCTGACCACATGTCAATGAGATTGAATTTATTATCTTTGTAAAGTGCGCTACAATAACATGCCAAGAAATGCATTTAGTTCAATTCTATCAACGTTTATGAAAGGATAATTTTCTTATCTTAAGTTCTTTCTTGAACTTTACGAATTATTTGTTCGTTTGTGTACATCATAATTTTTTTTATAAAGTATTTTTTTTAATATATCAACAATACCTGAAACGCTTGTAAAGAAATTGTAATAGTGTACGCTTTATTTTTCGGAGATGCTGTGTGTGTGTGTGTGTAAGATCCAATGGAACACCGACCGCGTCTGTTAGATTGAATTTAAACCAGTTCCAAGGGATCGTTTTCCGAGGACGGTCTCTTGAGTAGTATATATAGGGGGATACTGGATCACGGATACAGCGGCCTGCTACCAAGCGGCGCTGGTGTCGCGGTCGCGAGAGGAACTTGTTGATAGGGAGTGGTGGATAGGGCGAGGGAGCGCGTAGAGAAGAGAAGTAAAAATGTAAAAATGCTGCGTAGAAAAAAGAAGTAAAAATGCAAAATGCTTACCTGATACCCCCAACCCCCGCTATCTCCGACACAGTCGCCGCCTCCATCACCTAATCGTTCTCTTCCTGATCCATCTCCCCCATCCACACAGTCTCTTCAGCACAAGCGGCAATCTCTGCCGCCTCTGTCTCCTCCTTAGCCTCTGCCGCCACCGCAGCAAAGTATATACACAAAAGTGTAATAATTCCTCATCAGTTAAATTGAAGAAGTCGAGCATGAATTCGATCAATTCGTCACTCGTACAAGATGCGAAATTAATAATCAAAAGGCTCTCGTCGAGTTCATGCTCGACTTCATCTTCCTTTTCGGTAGGAGCATCCTCCAACAGAGATATCCTCCTCCTCAATTTCTGGCCTCTAAAGAGGGATATCTTCCACCCCATCATCATTTTTTTCACAAGAGACAATCAGTGATCGTATGTATGCGAGGCTCGAGAGTTTGAAGGATTCGATGCTTGGACGATTCGTACATGTGGGTGCCGGATATGGATGTCGGCGCGAGATCGAAACAGCGTTCGAGAGTATGTATATTAATAGGGGCGGTGATAAACTCTAATCACATAGAGC